TTCTTCTTCTTCTTCTTCTTCTTCTTCTTCTTCTTCTTCTTCTTCTTCTTCTTCTTCTTCTTCTTCTTCTTCTTCTTCTTCCCCTTCCCCTTTCCCTTCTTCTTCTTCTTCCTCCTCCTCCTCTTCCTCCTCTTCCTCCTCCTTCTTTGCCTCCTTCTTCTTCGAGTTAGTTATCTCTCTATGTAGCCCTGGCTAGCCTGGCACTCACTCTGTAGACCAGGCTGGCCTTGAACTCACAGAGATCCACCTGCCTCTGCCTCCCCAGTACTAAGACTAAAGGTGTGTCCCATAGCATGGAGCTTGGACTCAGGTTCTTAACCTCTAGTTTGTCTGAACACTATTTGGTTTTCTGAGACAGGGTTTCTCCGTGTAGCCCTGGCTGTCCTAGAACTCACTCTGTGAACCAGGCTGGCCTCGAACTCACAGAGATCCACCTGCCTCTGCTAAGATCAAAGATGTGCACCTCCACCACCAAGCTGTATGTACACTACTTTGATAGCTGCTCTTTGGACAAGCAAAGGGAGGCTAAAAATCCCAAAGGACCTGCCTAAGGTCACAGGGCAACTTCCGGAGAGGACTTTGACCAGACCTCCTTGGTGAGAAAGCCTGTGGTCTCCCTGTGCCACCCACAAAGTAGATGGTTACAGAGAAGCTCTGGTCTCAAGACTCGGAATGGGAGGGGATGACACCAGGCAGCAAGGCTGGGTGTGCTGCATGCCATGCACCCCAGGGCACCCGCATGCACCCCAGGGCACCCACATGCACCCCAGAGCACCCGCATGCACCACAGAGCACCCACATGCACCCCAGGGCACCTGCATGTGCAACTACCTTAAGAGGAAAACAGAAGGAGCTGGTGAACAAAAACCTCTTTCTCGGGAGCCCTGCCTCGGGACTAGACAGGAGAGGAGGTCACAGTCCTGCCGGGGTGAGCAGAGGGCAGGATCTACATAACAGAAGCACCAACCGGCCACCACCTTTCTATGTGATCCCAGCCTGGCTTCCCGCACCCCCACCCCCAGAACAACACAGCTACCCTGAACAGTGCCAGGTCTCTTGAGAGCCAGGAGAGGTGATACAAGCCTGTAGCCACAACGTTCAGGAGGCAAAGGCAAGAAGATCACTTCAAGTTCAAGACCAGCCCCTTCTACATAGTAGAGTCCAGGACAGCCAAGGCCATATAATGAGGCCCTGGCTGGGAATGGGGGATGGGCCCGAGAGAGGGTGGCACCTGCGGAACACCACCATAGACTATCCTCTGCCCTCCAAATGCATGCAAACACATGAGTATGCACACATACATACACACACACCAAAAACAAACAAAAAAGACACTGTGCTGGTTTGGCTGGCTTTTTGACGACTTGATACGAGCTAGGGTCATCTGGGAAGAGGGAATGTCAATTAAGGAACTGTCTCCATCATAATTAGCCTGTAGGTAAATCTGGCGGGAATTTTTTTGATTAATAATTGATGTGGGAGGACCTAACCCACTGTGGGCAGTGCCACCCCTGGGCAGGTGGTCCTGGGTTATATAAGAAAGCAGGCTGAGCAAGCCAGGAAGCAGTGTTCCTGGATGGTTTCTGCTTCGGTTCCTGCCTGGAGTTTCTACCCTGATTTCACTCAGGGATAGACTGTGACCTGGGATGTGTGCGCCAAATAAACCCTTTCCTCCCCAAGTGGCTTTTGGTCCTGGTTTTTTATCACTGCAATAGAAAGCAAGGCAGGCCAGCCCTCTACTGTCACAGGAGATGAATGATCCACACCTCGGCTGCCCCTGTCTCCTCTAACAACCTAAAGGAAAGAGGCCCTCCTAACGCTGGCCCCGACATCACTAAACAGAGTCGGGAAGTCCTCCACTTACGCTTTGTTTATGAAGGTAGGAAATTTTCCTTGGAAAGGCCTCTACGTCCTCATCTGCAAAATGGGGACTTATCTTTGCCTGATCGCTGGCATAAAAGGAGATCCAAAGAGGTTCCCCGCAGGTAAGCCATTTATGGAGGTACCACACAGAGCATCCCCAGTTCTCCACCCCAGCTGCCATGCTTCCCTCCGGTCCGTTCCTCACCCCAGCAGCGGAGGCAGCAGTGGCAGCGACATCCTCCCAATCAGCAGCAACAGCAGCCACTGCCCATCCGAGTCACGAGTGCCGGGCGCTATGCTGGCTGCTCCCTGGGATGATCTCTCCAGTGCCACTGGTCTCACTGACAGACGTAAAGTACCCAACGCCACACAGAGCGAGTGGTGTGGCCAAAAACGAGCAGCAGTGCTACCCTGGAGGCTATGGGATCATCCCCGGTGACATTTCACCAAGATGCATTCGTCTAGGGTCGAGGTTGAGGTAAGGAATATCAAGCCGGCTGTCTCCCCGGAGCTCCTCAGATAATTAGTCTTTACGGAGCCTTGTATTGTTATTCAAATGTGTCCAATCCGACACTGGTTATAACAACACTGTCCAGCAGAAATCTGACCTAAAGCCAGCGCAGTGACAGGTGCCTGCCATCACAGCTACTGAGGAGCCTGAGGCAGGGGGAGCGACAATGTTGGATAGTTTGATGTCAACTTGACACAAACTGGAGTTATCTGAGAGGAGGGAACCTCAATTAAGGAAATGCCTCTACAGCAGGACATGGTGGTGCACGCCTTTAATCCCAGCCCTCTGGAGGCAGAGTAGAGGGATCTCAGAGTTCCAGGACAGCCTGGTCTACAAAGCTAGTTCCAGGACAGCCAAGGCTGTTAACACAGAGAAAACCTGTCTCGAAAAACCAAAAAATAAATAAATGCCTCTATAAGGTCATGCTGTAGGCAGGCCTGTAGAGCATTTTCTTGATTAATGATTGATGGGGGAGGACCCAGCCCACTGTGGGTGGTGTCATCCCTGGGCTGGTGGTCCTGGGTTCTGTAAGAAATCAGGCTGAGAAAGCCATGAGGATCAAGCCAATAAGCAGCACTCCTCCATGGCCTCTGCATCAGCTCCTGCCTCCAGGTTCCTTCCCTGTTTGAGTTCCTGTCCTGACTTCCTTCAGTGATGAACAGTGATGTGGAAATTTAAGCCAAGTAAACCCTTTCCTCCCTAACTTGCTTTTTTGTTCATGGAGTATCATCACAGCAATGGAAACCCTAACTAAGACAAAAGACACATAAATTAAAAGTAAAATGCAAGCTACATATAAAATATAAAAAAAATTACTTAACCACATTTTTTGTTTGTTTGTTTGTTTGTCTTTTGAGACAGGGTTTCTCTGTGCAGCTTTGCGCCTTTCCTGGAGCTCACTTGGTAGCCCAGGCTGGCCTCGAACTCACAAAGATCTACCTGGCTCTGCCTCCCAAGTGCTGGGATTAAAGGCGTGCGCCACCAACTCCCGGCTTACTTAACCACATTTTAAGAAAAGATAAAGGAATGGGTTAAATTCGTTTATACAATCCCTTTAACCCAATATGCAAATTCCAACATGTAATTAATACATGCTATTTAAATATCTTTATCTATTTTTTTTTTTTTTGGAGCTAAGGATCGAACCCAGGGCCTTGCACTTGCTAGGCAAGTGCTCTACTACTGAGCTAAATCCCCAACCCCATGTTAAGTCTTCTAAATCCTGTATTTATTTTCAAATATTTAGCTTTCAAAATTGAAAAAATAATACATTCACAAATCTAACTTCACAAACATTCATAGGAGTTTGTCTACAACTAAATGGAATATTGCTTTAAATGTCCAATTGATTAAAATGAAACAATTAACAGAATTTAAAATTCAGTCCCTCACTGGCCACATTTGGAATACTCAGTGGCCACTCTGTTGGAGCTGGCACTCACTCTACAGCAGGTTCTTGGGGTGTAAGGAGGTGACCCCCTGGGTCTGGCCCAGAGCTAAGCTTCAGAGGCACAGCCATGTTGAACCCCCTTGCTGAATCCAGTGTTAATATCCCCTCCGGGGTCTGTTATATTCG